AAGAGGATGGAGTTGTGCATGTTGGTAACAGAACTATGTGAGGTGAACACGCAGCCGTGGCAGCTTTCGTCTGTTGGAGAGAAGCAACCTCTCGAGAAGAATTGACCCTGTTTAAGTATCTAGTTATAGAACTCAATCGCACTACCAACGCGCCAGGGTCCTTGTGGCGCTTCCGCTGCAGCAGCCATTCACGTAAACTGCCGCAAGGATAAAGAGGAGCCAGACCCACGAGGCGTACACATGTTTACGGGCGTTAGTTCCTCGGAGCCCCATCGCGCCCTGTTTGCACACGGGAGCGGATAGTTATGACCTCCGAGCTCGTTTTTGAGTACTACGGGTATTCTGCTTTGAGTTTACTGGGTCTGCTCCATGGAAATGCCACGCGTTCCCCGCATTTTGCATCGGACATCTTGGCTCTGGCGAAGTCGTATTTTTTACTCGGACGAATTCTGTCCATTTCTGTCCATTTCTCGCGTGCAATACGCCTCGGTAATTATGGTTGTGCGACCGTTGCGTCGGAGGCTAGAGAGATCAGGCGCATGTAAGGGTCGCTTAGGAGTAAAGTGCCATCTTTTACAATAGAATGGATCCACTTGCAGCGCTTCTTGATTACTCGATAAGCCGTGTGTCTAGACGCCTGTCTCGTAGCAACTCGCAGCAGCAGTGCGTATGATTGTGCAGAAGAGGGAGGTCGCAGCCTGCAGACGTGCGAGTACTGCGCGCATCTGGCTGCCAAGGAGTCCGAAGCTGGTGAAACTTGCGAGATGCCACCAAGAAGACAGGCCGTTCCCGACGCGCGTGGTCGCTTGCTCCCAATGGGGGAGATGTTTGCTTCCGATAACACCTAGGCAGCCATCGCAGGAATCTTCGATATACAGCCTTTGCCCGCTTGACCTTGTTCCAGCAGTTCAGTCGTTGACTCCCCTTATCTGTTCGTACCCTGTAGCCTCCTCCGCTTTGATGAGCGCCAAATTGGCGGTGCAGACTCTCCACTGTTCTCGGTCGCGCACACATACCACGAAAAGATGTTCTGTTAACGAAGTAGAAGACCACAACAGTGTCGCAGGCAGCTGAGTCATAATTTCTTACAGTCTGATACGTTGGGCGCAAAGTCCCAACACGGCCTAGTGAGCCCGGAATAGTTCCGTGCTGGTGAGTCGCTCCAGTCGTGACTCCCTCACTCAAACCATGGAAAGAACGACCACTCTACCAGTTGAGACTGAAGCTGCGCGTCACACCAAGATCATCAGGCGCGATGTGAAAGCAGCCTGAAACCCATAAATAGTCGACTTTGGTGCCCACAGCACCACCTCGCTCACGCGCCGGGCATCATTGCGCATCGCACTACGCAAGTCAACCTTTAAAGAATCTACTTCAGCTACACGACTATGGACACTGGTTGGGACGAGTTGGAGCGCATGGTGCATGCAGCATCAGCCTCTGACGCGCAGATTGCTTCCCAATACCCTACACCGGAAACTATCGAGCGCTGGATGCGACTCTTTGGATATTCCCGTATCGAAGCTGTCCGTCTCATCAGTGATCAACGCGGAGATGGTTAGTGACACCGCTTCGTTCTGGTTATCATATGTGGATTTGTCATGTACTGATTCCTCTCTACAGTCACCCGGGAGCGAATTACCGACGATCATTGGGAACTTGTCCGGACCGAAAAAGAAGCTATAGGCTACGATCGCGAGGCTTATGAGCACAATCTTTCCCTCCTCACAGTCTTCAAGAGTCAGAGCGCCTTCATACCAGCCTCTGGGGCTGATGGGGAAATGATGCTTCTTTTCAGGTTGGGTGGGCTGTTGAACACTGCAGAGAAAGTGAAAGAGGTTGCCAGCCTGGACCGTGTACCCGTCGAGCAAGAGGGAATGAGTGAGATGGGTCCCGTCAAGTTTTGTCTGGTGGACAAAGACGCACAGAAAAAACTGGAGGAATGGCTCACGCAGCAGTCCGTCCTCCAGCGATAGCTGCGACTCTGACGGGGTTATCCGAGGGAGAACCAGTGCTAGTCAGTATTGCAATCATCTCAGCATGACGCTGGGAATAGCTGTACCATGCGCTCATGAACAGGTCGCCGAATGCAACACAATCAAATCCATCTAAGATCGGCTGCGGCTGGAACAGCAGCCAGTTTGAAAAAGAGAATCCCAATAATTACCTCCCACACTGGACACCAGAAATCACGTCAGAGTCGACATTATCTTAGGATTCTGCCAACTTCGTTTTCCATGCTAATGTAGACTGCAGCGCATCTGTTCAATTACCTCCGTTTACGAGGTGCAGCGACCCACTAGTTCTCACATAAGAAAAAAGCAGATCCGAGGAAGCGCAGCGACTGATGGGCTGATGCTCTTTCCGATCTTGTGATGGGCACCTGCCCGAAGGGGCGTAAAGCCATCTTACCGATGAACAGCCCACCTCGAGCATGAGATCCTCAAATGAACAGTTAAATGCAACGTACACATGCCGACGACAACCAATTCCTAGAATAGCGACATCATCACTAAGCATCGTCTGTGGGTAACTCGGCGAATCAGGATCAGCTCAGCCACGACCACGATACCGCTTACGGTCAACCGCAGCCACAAGCGGCACGTCATCAACACTGCAGTTCAGCTGTGCTGATACATTACGGCGCGATCGGCGGAACTATCAATCGACTAATGTTTGGAGCTGGAGGAGCTGAGGCTGCTGATGTAACAACACGGAGATCACCACGAAGATCTCGGTACAAATTGGGAAACCCCCATGTCCAACCTGAAAGCCACCCCAAGTATCTACATGACTTTCGACATGTTGTAAAAGGGACACACGAAATTCTTTGTTGCGTTCAACGAACATCCAATGACTGCGCATACATACCATGCCTCAACGCCCCTCGCAGGAGCAAGACCTACAACACTTGCTACCATCGACCATGACTTCTTCCAAGTTCTCATCTAACAGACCGATACCTGCGATCACTCTTCAATTGGCTACCGACGATCAGAGCGCACAGTACAGTCAAGCGCTACCTCATGGCGGTTTCGAGGAGCTCAAAGAAGCGGCAAACGAAGACAGGGTACGCCCTCAACAAAGAAGTGCCGTAAGCGAGCATCAGCGGTACTAACATATATTCAGGACCTCAAAATACGTATCCGGAAATTACGCGTCATATCGCGCACCCTCGCTCTCTTCATCTCTATCGCAGTTCTCGTCCTCACGGCCCTTACACTGCACAAGTTCCTCAGCACACGCAGTATCCACCGCGTTGTCCGACTACCCAGTGGCGAGAACATCTTACGCACGCCCTGGGCGAAGAATACACGGGCATGGCCAACGTACATGTACTTTGGCGTCGCGGCCGTCTCCGTACTGCTCAACTTCGCAACGATCTTTTCGTACAAGTGTGGTATCGAACAGGCTAATGTAGCCGCTGTTGTCACGAGTACCTTTAGCTGGGTCAATATGCTGGGGAACTTCATTGTGTGGTGTGTAGCCGCTACTGTGTATCGCACCGAGAAAGATAAAAATGGAAAGAGCGATGATCTTTGGGGCTGGACGTGTAGTTCTGGTGCGAGGGCAATCCAAAAAGAGTTCGTGGGCGACATTAACTTTAGCAGCTATTGTAATGTGCAGGTAAGTCGACGGGTCAGAGAAATTTGAGGGAAGGGCTTGCTGACGCAGTGTGTAGAGTGCGAGTTGGTATGTTGGTATTGTGCAGGCCTGTGCTGCATTACTGACCGTGGTAATTTTTGTGCTGGTTTTCAGGAGGAGGAAGACGAAGAAGGCGGTGGAGCAGAGGCTGAAAATGCATGGCCTCGAGCCGAGTAGATGTTGACCGGAAGGACCCCCGCCGCATAGGAGGCGAACCCACAGCAACAACCGGTCTATCGCCAGGTACCAGCCTTGCGTACCGTTTGATACCCAGCACAAGAGTCTAGGATACGATCCAGTCACCCCAAACGACCGCACCCAGCCATCTTCGGCCCCAAACCCGTCTCCTAAATTCTGCGCAGCATGGTGTATTCATACCCACCTCATCCACATTTTCTACAGTCCACGCTAGTCTCTATCACGTTGAGATAGCGTACCTGCATGCACCGACCTCGCAAACCACTCCCTGAAGTCCCTGCTTACCAAAACAAGCGGGACCCTTTTCCAAGAACGGACAACAACATGCATGCGCAACGGTTACCACCCAAGGAACGACAAGCTCAAAAGGTACTAAGACAGGTCGTAAATAACGCTTGAGATGCATGCCAGTATCGCAGATTCCACGAGGAAAAGCTGGATAAGAAAGGAGGAGGGTGGGAGCATGGGGCAACGACGCGCGAGAGGGATATGTTTTAAGAACGGAGAGACACCCGTTGTAACCGATATCCAGAAACAAAGTACATAATACATTTGTTTACCACAACCGTTACTGAAGTGCAGTGATGCGAAACATGCTGGTATGTTAGAGAAGAACAGAAGTGACATGAGGATGTTATTCATGAGACTGACAGTACAAGCAGTGCGCACGATCGTTACCAACCTGGCTATGCGCCACCATCTTTCTACTCACTGCCGTCGCTTCTTCCCAGGAGACGCAAGACGAGTGTGATCGAGAATGCTTGCTTCTTAGGGTTGAGACGCTTGAACGAGAGTATGCGAAGATAGAGCAAGCTCTGGTAAGTCAAGGCCAATCTACTTCTATGGCGTTCATCATGCTGACAGCGGAACAGTATCCTGGTGGCTACGCGTATTCTTCGACTAGTGCTCAGTCGTATTACCCAACATCTGCCGTCTTTACCGCAACTCCAACCTCATCAAGCAAATACTACACCACCTTTGGCACATTTGGTCTACCTCAAAGTTCAGCCTATAGCTTCGTTGGTTCCTCATCACCCATTCTGACATCTGCCGTCTCCACTGCAACGCCGAGCTCATCAAGCGAATACTATGCTAGCTTTAGCACATCCGGCTTTCCTCAAAGCTCAGCATCCACCTGGGTTGTGTCCTCCTCATCCATGGTCATCAGCTATGTAACCACGCAACCTTCAGTCTCAGCTACGCCTTCATACGCAACGACTCCATCCCAAAGTTCAGCCGCTACCTTTGTCGTTTCCTCCTCATCTCTAGTCATTAGCTATATGACCGCGGAGACCTCAGTGCCAGCCTCTACTTTTACTGTTCCCTCCCCATCCATAGTCACAAGCTATGTGATCACGCAGCCTTCGGTGTCAGCCACGCCTTCCTACGCACCACCTCCACCAGAGCCCACAGCAAGCGACACACCACCCGAACCCACCAACCCCAACATCCCCACCCACCCCGGCTACCGCTCAGTAGCCTACTACGGAAATTGGGACATCTACGCACGCAACTTCCAACCCCAGCAAATACCCGCAGAGCGACTCACCCACCTGCTCTACTCCTTCGCCGACAACAAGCCCGACGGCACCGTCTTCCTCACCGACACATATGCCGACGCGGAAAAGCACTATCTGACTGATTCCTGGAACGACGTGGGCAACAATCTTTACGGATCGATGAAGCAGCTTCAAATCCTGAAGGCCAAGAATAGGAACTTGAAGGTGTTGCTCAGTGTAGGTGGTTGGACGTATACAAAAGTTGCCAAGCACATGGATGGGCCTATGGCTACGGACGCAGGCAGACAGCGCTTTGCGTCTTCGTGTGTGGAGTTGATTCGCGACTATGGCTTCGATGGCATTGATGTGGATTGGGAGTATCCTACCGACAAGGAGCAAGGCGGGCAGTTACTTGCGCTGTTGAAGGAGACCAGAGGTCAGATGGACCAGTATGCCAATACGCTTGTGTACGAAGATGAGTCTGGATCCGAGCTAAAGCCCAAGTTCCTCTTGACTATTGCTTCGCCAGCCGGGGAGAAGAACTACAAGCATCTGCCCTTGAAAGAGATCAGTGCAGTCACAGACTTTATCAATCTGATGGTAAGTATTGGCTTCTCCAAATGCAGCAACAAATAAACTAACGCAAAGATAGGCATACGACTACGCTGGCTCCTGGGATGACCAGACTGGCCATCAATCGAACCTTTACCCTTCGACCTCGACTCCCCTGAGCACGCCCTTCAATACAGCTTCCGTTCTGGCCGCCTACAGCGCCGCGGGCGTTCCTTCCTCCAAGCTCAATCTTGGCATGCCGCTTTATGGTCGCTCCTTCACCAACACTCAGGGTCTAGGAACGTCGTTCAGTGGCATCGGCACCGGATCGTTCGAGCGAGGCGTCTATGACTTCAAGGACTTGCCCCTTGCAGGTGCACAGGAGTACTACGACGAAGCGAGTGGCGAGTTCGTCAGCTATGATACTGTGGCCATGGCGCTCAAGAAGGTCGACTACATTGCAGAACAAGGGTTGGGTGGCGCAATGTGGTGGGAGATCAGCGGTGACAGGACAGATGACAGCGGGAGCATCGTGACAAACGTGAGTCGTGGACGTCTGAGAGTGGAGACGAGCTTGCTAACGTATAAAGGTTGTCGAGAAGATGGGCAGCGGGAGTGGTGCAGGCATCGAGTCATCGCCCAATTGGCTGCTGTATCCTGACTCCAAGTTCGATAACTTGAGGAATGGCGTGTTGACGACACCTCAGGTCGCGGGGCGATTGCGCAGGGGGTGAGTCGTTGATGCAGGTGCAGCTGTTGGCGAGCATGTCAGGTGGTGGTGCAAACCTAGAATCGCGTAAGTTATTACTGATCGCCATCGGTAAACGTTGAGATGGAGCATCGGTGGCGCGAGCATTCATGCGTTCGCATACATGTAGTAATAAAACTTGTCATATACCCTACCCTTGAGATATCTCGCTTATTGCCAAGCTGGAACATCATCTAGGGGACTGGACCCGCGTGACACAGTTGCAGCAGTGTTTGAGGCTCTGCTACCCTAGGTGTAGGCGGTAGCGCGGAAGCCATGCTGCTTCTGGCGTAGATCATCTTCGATATATTGCCAGTGTCGATATTCTACGCCGCCGTCATACTACGATCGACGGCCAGGGTGCTGGAAGAAGAAAAAACGAGTACACGATCACAGGCACGGCGGGGGTGCTGTTGGTGATTGTCGTTGAATTTGCGTGGTGTCTGAGCGCATGAGGGCTAGGATATGCCCGCCGCGCGCATATGTGCCGCCTGCCGAATGATACATACAGAACCGAACGCCCTAGCTCCATTCATGCCGCGAAGTAATAACAGTCGTACGATATAGCACCAAAATGTGCTGGAGGGTATAGCAAATCTATCAGGCACCACAATGTGCTCATTTTACTCGTTTTACTGCCTCCTGATCTCATCAGGCGAGCAGGTGTCGGCGGGCGGGAGTAAGCGCTGGTAGGACTGCTCGCCGACTATAGTCGACTCCCTGTGATTAAGGAAGGTGCGTATGCGCTCGTCGCGATCTCCACTTGAGCTCAGAGTGGCATTCCTGCTCCGGCTGTACTCCATACTCGCCTCGCGGTGGATCTGGTCGCGCCGCTCTATGACCGAGTTGTTGAAGGTGTTGAATCTAGTGCCCTGCACGACGCCGCCTATGCTGACAAAGGCGAAGATGAGGGCCATGAAGGTAAAGTTGGACATCTGAATCGTGCGGGCGTCTGTGTCCTTGGCGCCGCCGCCGTTCTCGTAGTGCCAGCGCTCCCAGTCCTCCCAGGTCGCATTGGTACGCGGATCCGTATTCCAGCGATGTGGATCATAGTGCCAGTCTTTATGACGGGGGGCCATGGGCATCTGGTGGTGACCGGCCCAGCCGTGGCCCCAGGCATCATACGCTTTGCGTTTCTGGACATCGGAGAGGATGTCGTGGGCGGCGACTAGCATCCGATAGCGCTCGAGACGCACGTGGAGGGGCAGCTGGGCGATGGCCGACTCGGCATGGCAGCGGTCGGGGTGGTAGAGCTTGACGAGGGCATAGAAGCGGTGCTTCGTGTAGGCGTCGCCCTTGCGGCACTTCAGGATCTGGTAGGGCGTGGGTGTCTTGTGCGGCTTCACGGCGTCTGGCCACCTGAGCAGCTCTGCGTCATCGCGGTAGGCGGGCGCGTCCTGGTGTTGGGCGTAGGAGCGTCGCTGTGTTGCGGCCTCAGGACGTGCGAATCTATGACGGCATGACTTGCCCGGCTGGGGACCTGAGCAGCTCCCAGCGTGGGAATAGTAGAGGGGACTGAGGTTAGTGTACGAGGGCAGGAGGATGGAGCACTTCTTGGGCAGCATTGTCGCGCACTGGCAGGCGTGGACGGACGCGCATCTCCAAGCTTCAGTCAGGTGTCAGTGTGGGAGACGGCGTGCTGCGTGTGTGGGGTGCTGAGGCTGGTGGCGTCGGCGCATGGGCGATCGCAGCAGCCCGCGGGCGAGATAGACGCGGCCGGCGCCATCACTCACCCATCGGTACCTCACGCTAAGCCGCTTGCGTGCTACATGCGACACTCTGGATGCGAACAGGAGTTGGCCGTGGTTGATAATTTTTCCACGGCCTCGCGCGCCCTCCAGTCCTGCCCGACGCGACTGCGACGGCGCCGGCGTCTCAGCCAGGCAGCCACCATGCAGGTGCGGTCTCTTCCGCTCTCCTCCAGTTGCTCAGACCCGATGCTGGTGGAGCCCTTTGCTCCGCGACTCAGCCTGTCTGTTTGACGTGAACTCCTTCGCCTCGCTTGCGCATGCCGTGCGAACCTCCCCCTGCAGCGACACAAACTCTCGGGTCACGACGCATGAAGTCGACCCTGCATCCAGCCAGCCGCCCAATGTCTTTGTCCTCCAGGGTGGGCTAACTGTGGGGTCTAGAGGGGGCATCCTTCTGCTATAACCCGTTTGCTATCACGCCTCTCGTGCTCTCCCTCCCTCAGCTCCCTCCAGCCTTTGCTTCGTACAGTCCTTTCCGTCATTCACTTGCCTATATATCGCCCTACCTTCCATGTTGACCGCCTCCCGCCCCCTTCTCCCCACCTACAGCGCCCTGCATCAAGCCATGGCAAACACACACGACAGCAACGGACACCCCAGGGAAGGCTACCTGAACCTGACCCGGCGCATGGAGACTGAAGAGGAAGACCAATTTGACGTCGATCTCACCATCTTAGATTTCCTTGTCTACAAGGCCATTGACTTGGTCTTTGAGTGGAAGTCGAGCAGTGATCCATACCATTCAGATCTGCCCAATGCGCTCGTCAACATGACTGCTGGTATGACTTGCGCCTGTTACGGCAATGCATCACGTGCTCACGACTATCAGATTGGAGGACATTCCTCGGGCACAGACACCATGGCCGACGCCTAGATGCCAAGGCGTCATTTCGATCGCGTTTGTTGCAGTTTGCCCTGATCTTCACACATCGGCTGCATCACGACGAGACCTGGACAACCGAAGAGTCGCTGAATAGTCTGCGCGAGCAGAACAAATCCCGTGGCGAGTACTGGCGGCAACGAACTCAGCATCCTTCTGCGCTCCAGTACCCTTTCGACCAGCAGAAGGACTTTCCTCTTTCCGATGGCGCTCTTTACGAAAACCGCTCTGCTCTTGCCTCCGCACTGAGAATGCCGGTGGATCAGCGGAGGTGGGTGACCGATGTAGCAGGCACGCCCTCGCTCCACTGTTTACTCCCTGTCTTCATCGAGCTTACCGCCGCACGTGTCAATATGGATGACGATTGGCTGCCAACGGCTGAGTGGTTCGACTTGGCAGCACATTTCATGCTACAGGCTATCATCGGCGAATATCTTCGTAATGGTGCTTACGGTGACGAAGCTTTTAACACCATCTTCGCCTATGGCTGCCCTGGCGTCGAACGATGGGCCGAAGAACCAGCGGACGTGGCAGCAATGAGGAGACTCTTCTGTGCTGAAGGTAATCTTCGCGAAGAGAACTGCGAGTGGACCAGGATCAAGCGCCAATACATCAACGAACTAATACCAAATGGTCGGGCGCAGTCAAGTCTACAGGCGATAGAAGCAGCCCAGGAACGATATCCGTACGCCGAGTTCGAAGAGAAGCTACTATCTTTTCTCAAATATCTCCACGAAGGCCTCGTCAAGCCAGATCTCGCGCAAGTCGAAGAAGGTCGCATCAACATCGACGGCAACGAACTGTCTGAAGCAGAATCACGAGCCATGATCCAGCGCATGGGGCTTTGATCGACTCTGCGTCCCCAATTTCTTTAATCTCGGGCGAGCTCGGAGGAGTTTCTTCGGCGGCCTGAGTACGTGTTTTTCGGTTGTCTAATCTTGTCTTTTTGTACTAGCGTAGGCCGTTCTTGTTTATACGTTTTTTCTCCAGTTTGCGAGCTATTCTTTTGTATTATTGTTATCATCTGTACCAAAAGTCATGTAGCTTCGCGCGTCTTGTACCATATACCCACATCAGCTAGTTAGGTCGCCGACACAGGCTTGTAGTCGGTGCAATCACACATATTTCAACATCTCGATGACTACTCTTTTCTCCCGCTACTCCCCATAAAAACTCCTCTTCGAACCCACTGCCACATCCCTAGTGTCCCTCCTCAATCCATCGCTCCGAGCACGTCTTGTCATGGCCACATTCTGTAGGTAAGTGTCGTGGACCATCTTGTAGTCCTTTCTCTACCTCTTACAACACAGACGTCATCTTTACTCTCCGGCATGAGAATAATGCCACCAATCGCATCAGCGCGTATCGCATCTCCCTACAAATCTCAAATTGATTGAATAGTGGAGTATACGGACCCACGACACGCGCACGCTTGTACCCGACACTAGTCACACAAAGACGCTAACAGATGTGTGGATTTTGTTATCATGGTAATGGTGTGATTCTGAAGATCAAACACTCTTGATTTGATTTGGGAGAGATACAGCCTATCCTTCAACCTACTCTTACATGTCATCAAACGTAGCGGTGCCCGCCCTAAAAGGCGGAGGTATATATACAAGAAAAAACACAAACAGTAGCTGGTAGATCAAACAGCAGAGTAAACGGCAGTGCATCCGCGTCCACACTCCACCTTTTGTTCGAATTCGACTGTGCGGCCATTGACCTTGACCTTATTTCTTGGTGTGATTTGGAAACGATGCATCTCTTTTTCTCTTAGTTGTTTTCCGAATCCGCCGGCAGAAGCAGCTCGCTCTTGCTCAGCGGCTTGGTCAAGTGGTTGGATGTATGTTGGTGTGGCTAGATTGCTCCGCTTGCCACTGCCAATCTGGTAGTATTCGTTGTTACCCCAAAATAAGATGTCGCGACCCCAGTTTGTGTCGTTGTCTGTGAGCTTCTTCGACCGACCGGTCACAGCGACGCTGGCAACGTTGTCGAGGATGGCGGCGGCATGGGTTGATCCGACTGAGATGTTCAATAGACGTATCGGAATTGCAGTGTTCTTGGCTTCGTCCCACTCAAAGAGGCCAGAGAACGCGGGGACCTTGACGGGGTCGGCCTGCGTGTGCACCCACCGACCAACACCGAGTTGACCTGTGAGGCCGAACCCAAAGGCCCATGTGTCTGCAGTAGTCTTGTTTCCTTTGGTCGCTTCAACGGCGAGGAAAGACGTGTTGCCGCCAGCGAATACATTTGTCACTTTGCCTAGCGAGCCAGAGTATAGCTTTTGTGTTGGGAGAAGAGATGGCGCATCTACGCTTTGCGCTTCAGCGTTGTACGGGAAACCTAATTGACCGGAGGTATTATCGCCGAAAGTAAAAGCTCGTCCTTCGGAATCACAGACTAAGCTGTGGTAGTCACCAGTAGCGATCCTCTTGACGGGGAATCCTTTGAGGGTAGTGACCTCGTGGGGAATGTCGAAAGCGCCAGTGGGACGGCTCTCGAATGATAGACCCGGTATTCCTAGCTGACCTTTGCTAGGGAAGTCTTGTGAGCCTGATGCGAAAGAGAAGACGCGGCCAGAGGAGGTGAGCATGAGCGCGTGCTCTAGCCCGGATGAGATGTCCGTGACGCGCTCGCTCCATCCGAGGTTCTCAGGTGTACGGTTGCGATATGAGATGTTGTTGGAGCCACCCCAAAAAGGGATCCAGGATGTAGATGGCGGCTTTGGGCCTTCCTTCTGCTCCGCCTGTGAAACGGGTATCGAGTATACGGTGCCACTCTTGGACAGGCCAATAATACGATCGCGGGAGATGGCGAGAGAGGTAAGGTTATGGCCCGTCAGAGTCTTGGTAGGCTCCTTGACGTCGTTTGCGAAGGCGGTGCCCCATTGTAGAAGATCGCCCTTCTCGTCAATGGCTGCGCCGAAGTTTCTGTCGAGCTTGATGTCCCGCAACAACTTTCCGTCGAAGAAGGTCAAGCGTCTTGGTGTCTTGATGTACTTTTCGTCAGAGTCGGGTGCCACGACCTTGCCTGAGTTGGAACCCCATGTGTAAACTCCAGGGTTCTCCCAGCTCTTGATGACTTGAAGATGCTGCGAGCTGATGATATTTCTATTGTCGTCGACCGATGTTGCCTGCCGCCGTGGCGCTTCAAACTTCAGCTCCGGTTCCTCTTGTTCCTCAGCGTGCGCATCTCGTATGATCGAGTCTCCGTTGCACCATTGATATGCCGTGGCGGTAGCCCAGAGCGCGCCGACGGTGGCTATGGATCGGACGAAGTGTTGCTGTCGTCGTTGTGCATAGGGGTGGGATGCTGTCCGGACGTGTGATTGCGGGGGTCTGGTCGCTATGTTCCTACATACTCGCGGGGCATGCGGCGTTCGGAGGGTCGCGCGTGCTACACACTTTGTGCTGAGCATAGTGTGGTATATGGCGTGGTGGGCTCGTAGTGGCAGGTGTCGTCCCGTGGGCGTCTGGATGAATCAAGAGAGCAACATTTGCAGCACGATCGAAGGTCCGATTACGGTTGGAGCATTGGTAATTGGACAGTTTGGATAGTTTCTCTAGATCGTAGCTGCGTGATCAATGACGCTCTAGACTTGCTCCACACTGACAGATGAGTCTAGCGCCAATTAGGCCTAGCACGACCTGCTGGACCCCCACGAGCATCACCGAGCTCCGACATGTGGAAGCTGGCGTCGTGTTTCCTGTCTACACACAACAAATCCACCAACCCCCGAACTGCGCCAGAATGTACGAGGCAGACTCGTGGTACACTGCCTTTGTGCCGCGCACCGCCAAGCCCCAGGAGAAGGGCAAGCACCGCCGCAGAGAGAGCCTGCTTAAACAGGAGAACGTAAGCCCACCATCCGCTGCCTGGGTACGTCTGAGCACTTCTGATGATTGTACTTGCAGGAGAGTCAGGCTGACTTCGAGCGCGCAGAGGCCATCGCGGAAACAGCAGAGGACGATCGACCCGGCAAGCTCAATGGCCCTCCACCGGCCACCGTGGCCAGACGCGCCAAGTCGTACAGCGACTTCTACACCGTCGTGCGGGCACATCTGAAGAAGGAAAGAGCACTCGAGGAGAAGAAGCCACGTGGGGAAATCAGCACCGAGCTGGAGTTTGCCGACTGGTATGGCGGTGTCAGCGATGAGCTGCTCGAAGCCAGCCACGAGGAGTACAGACTCTACCAGAACCAACTACACATAACGCGAAACCACCTCGAGAACATCATCTCCGACACAACATCGACCCTCGATATTCTCTCTTCCCTCTCCGAATCCTTCAAGATCGTCGAAGCCCAGACGAACGCCTTCCGCACACAATGCGAGGGCCTCATCGACGACCAGAAGCGCATTACGAAGCTCGCAGACGATATGGAGCAGAATCTACGATACTATCTCTACCTCGAACCTACCACCAAACGACTCAATGCTCCGGGAGCAGGCAAGATTGTGCGGGGTAAAGAATTCGTCGAGATGCTGGCCAACCTGGACAGCTGCCTCGAATACATGCAGGCGCATTCCAAGCATCGCGAAGCCGAAACGTACCGATCCAGATACAGACTGCTCCTTACCCGTGCCCTCACCCTCATCCGCGTCCACTTCACCGAAGCGCTTCGCGAAATCGCAGCCGATGTGTCGAAGCGGATAGCGGACAGACAACTGAACGACACCACAATGTCTGCGCTGTTGTATGCCAAATTCCGCGTCGGCGCGCCGGAGCTGAAGAGTATAGGCATCGAGATACAAAAGCGGGCAGTACTGCCAGCTGGAGCAGCGCCAGGCGGAGAAGCCGAATACCAGAGTTTGATGAACGAGCTGTACCAGAGCTACTCAGCCACCCGTGGCCGACTTATACTTCCCATCGTTACAAAGAAAATCGGAGAGATCGCACAAGCTCCGAGCACATCGACGGATCTCGTAGCCTTTGCGAGGAGCAGCATAAGCTACATACGTGGCATATGTTTCGACGAGTGCGACTTATGGCGAGAGTGGTTTGAGGGTGATGGCGGATTGTACGACTTCCTCGAAGCTGTATGCGAGCCTTTATACGACTACCTGCGACCGCGCACTATCCACGAGACACAAATACTCAAGCTGTGCGAACTCTGCACACTGATACAGACACGATACATGGAGGAAGAGGAGGAGGACTCGCCAGTTGAGGCGAACAAGCTGGACTTTTCTGTCATTGTACACCCCGCACTGCAAGATGCACAAAACAGATTGGTTTTCCTGTCGCTTGCGATCCTGCGAGACGACATTGAGAGATACAAGCCTAAACCAGAAGACCTCGACTACCCTGCGAAGAACAAGAAGCACACCATTTCCGGGACGAAGTCAAATCAACCCGTTCTGTCTGGCAAGAAGCAGCCGAAGTCCGAAGTCCCACCCACCCCTTTGATGCCGAAGACGCCCACAATAGTCGAAGACGACGATCCAGATGCGCGATGGAACTTCAATACCGAAGCGGCCTTCAAAGACTGGTACCCTACATTGCGCAAAGCGATCTGGTTGCTCAGCAAAATCTACAGGCTTGTTCACGTAAGTCCTTCAACGCTCGCATGTCCTTCCTCATGCTAATGTGCTCCTAGTCCTCTGTATTCGATGACCTGGCTCATCACATCGTTCACAGCACCACGCTTTCTCTCGCGCAAGCTAGCACGTTGCTTGCTAAATCCGCCTCACCCACTGATGCCGCCCTCTTCCTCGTATCGCACCTCCTTCTCCTCAAACAACAAATCGTAGCTTTCGACATTGAGTTCGTCACGCCGGAGACTGAAGTCCAGTACAATTTTGCGAGCCTCACGAATACTTTCTGGGAGCTGCGTGCTCGGGGCGGCCTCTTCAACCCGCGGAATCTCGTCGGTCTTTTGATACCCAAGGTCGTAGAGAACATGTTGGATGCCAAAGCTGAAGTGGATGCACGCCTGCGCCAAGCGATCAATGACTTCACTGGTCAATTCGTCGCTAGAATGACGGCACCGATCGATACGAAAGGCAACAAAAAGGTGCCTGTGAGTGAAGCTCCTGCGCGCACGAGCAAGATCCGGCAGAACATTGAGCATGAGACGCCGTTCCTGAGATCGAAGCTGGAAGAATACATCACCGACGCTCGTACACGCGAGATGCTTGTAGCAGCTGTCATGGAATCTGTCACCCAAGCATACGAAGACTGGTACGACTCGTCGTACTCGCCATCTCTTTCCAACCAAAATGGAGCCAACAGGAGCGCCAAGGGCAAAGGAAGGGAAGATGGCGTCTGGGATCCGGACGTGTTTAGTGAGTGGTGCGGCAACACGTTCAAAGTTGGCACGCTAGGACTGGGCAGCATGGATGATGAACAAGAGGATTATCAAGATGATGATAGCGATGCAGACAGTATGGGTGCCACTAGCGGGAGATCAGGCACAGAAAGGACAGGAAACACGGGTCTGAGGATCAAGATGTGATAGCTTCCTGTAAGCCGGATAAAATATGGAATTATCTATCATGCTGGTCTACAGTCGAAGCACCATCACCATGCTATCGGAAAGAAATCTACTGTGACTTCCCTTCCACAGTCACTTTCCGTAAACACAGGCATCTTCTCTTCCTCCATCTTCTCAACAATATTCACTTCCGTTTCTGCATCGCTCTCCGACTCTAGCTCTTCCCTCTTCCACGCATTCCGCTTCTTCTGTCTCGCTTTCCGCCGCCGCAATGCGTTCTTCTCGCGGCGTTCAATCACATCACTTTCTTCGCCTTCCTACTATAATTGATCAGCATTATCATTACTGTCATGGCAGTAGTCAAATCAAAGCAAGAACTCACCGAGCTAGTTTCGCCAGAATCCGTTGTCGCTGCGCGGAGCGAGTTGTAGATTGAGGTTGTGCTTGATACAGAGAGCAGCTTGATTGGCGGGTATTTGGCTTCGTCCTCGGTGTCACTGGCTATTTCTGTTGCCATTTCGGAGGTCGTGGTGGAAGGTGAAGGCGAAGAGGAATGCGCGGATGAGTCTTCGTCTTCGCTTGAATATCGTCTTGCCCTTCCTCTTCCCTTTCGCTCTTGCGCGAGTCTCTTCCTCGTCTGTTCATTCAGTTCTTGCTGTTTTCTCGGTAACACGTCGTCGTCTCTCTTTGCTCGCAGCTTCGCGACTTTGTATGTTTGTCTTTCTTCTCCTTGCTTTGGTCTGGCACGAGACTCGTACTCCTCAGAATCCACACTGCTGCTACTGCTGAGGCTATCATGCGCCCTTACGAGAGCTCCCCCACACTGCTTCTCAAAGTTCTCTGCGACGTCAAGGACGGACTTCATCGATGCTTGTGCGGCGTTGTATGCTTTGCCCGAAAGACCAGAAACAGACAGTTGGAAGGCCATGTAGAGGCGAGTTGATGGAGCGCGTCTTGGTGTGTGCGTAGGTCTCGATATCACTTTCTGACTCACTGTCAGACCGAGTGCTACTCGCTTCTTTCCTATAAGGCAAAGTCTTGGAGCGGGTGAGACAGGTGGCGGAAGCAGGTGGGGAGGATTTGTGTTTCTTCGCCACAGAAGCTTTTGCTATCGCTTCTTGAGCTCGTCTCTTTGGCGATTTTCTTGTCTCGTTTACTGCTGTCACATCTTCGTCTTCGTCTTCTTGCTTGATATTCACGGTGCTGTCTTCTATGTCGATGTCGCGCGAGTACCCTATCTCATCCTTGTCATATTCGACGGATACTGTCGATGCACGGAGTGACCCAACTGTAGACCCGCGTCCCGGTGTCACTCTGGTGATGGTGTTGCGGGAAGGAAGTCTGGGACGCGCTTTGCAGGCTCGGGTTCGTGCCATGATGAGACTTCGAGTGGTGTATCAATAGATCTTGGGAGAGTGTTTGGAGGGGTAGACACGTGTCTTGCTTATGGGGTTACAACTTAAAAGATGGCATCGGTTGATTGAGATAATGAGTGCTAAAGGCGAGATGCAAAGCAATTGTTTGTCCATAATGCAAGTGTGCAACACAGAAAGAACGTCAAAGAAGTGGCGGGGACGACTTGATGACAGTTTGAAGCAACGTTCATTCCTAGCAAACTTTTGGTCTAGGACATTATTCCTGTGTAAAAAAAAAGGCACTAAAGATGGCTAGAATTCATGTCGCATTCCGCAATGATGTATCCAAAAGTATTTCTGGCACGAAGGAATTGGAATCATAATACGATAGAAATATCATTACTGTAGTAGTGTGAATGCTTAGGGCAATTCTAAAGACTAAATGCATAACGCCGATCCCATGCAGAGAGAAAGAAGTCAACTATGTGATGCGAAAATTAAAATATGCAGAAAGAGACCGTCGTTAAGATCAACTGTAGTCACCACGCTGCCCGTGCCACATGCAGCAGATTCCACCAGGTGCTCACAAAGGCACAATCGAGCCACCCTGAGAAGCAAGCGGGTCAACAGAAGGCTGTTTGGTGACGGTGTTGACTGCATTCTCTTTGTACTTTGCAAGCGTCTTGTCGGAGTTGAAGTTCTGGTTGATAACACCGCTCATGCCTTTCTGGCAGTGGTTCCCGTTGGTCTGCGAGCAGTAATACCAGATAGGGTTTCTGTCCTGCACAGTAAAGGTGAAGACGTTTGGTGCTTCACCCGCGGTGGTGTTGAAGTTGAAGCCAGAGAAGATGGAGTTGTCGCCGCCGAGAGGCTCGCATGGCTTGTCGAACGAGGATTGCACGAAAGTGTGCGCCTTGGGGAGGAAGTGAAACTCCATGAGATCGCCGGGTTCTGCGACTACGTTTTCGGGCTCGAAATGTAGGCCGCCGTTGGCGGTTGTGGAGCCGGCGAAGACGCGGTGGACTACTCCGGTAGGCCGGACTGGCTGTGCTGGCACGGCGACTGTGAGGCCAACCAGGGCAGCGGCTGTCAAGGCGAGAGATGTGAAGGCAACCATATTGTCTGATGAGTTTATGTGTTGATGTTGTGGGAATGGTGACCTGACAAAGAAGCGACTAATGCGATGATGACTGGGAAGCAGAGACGAGCTATGAAATGCTTTCGATGATAATAGGACTGTGGATGCTGTGAAGAGAGTATTTTGATGTAGAAGATGTGATGTCGATGTAGTGATGAAGATGCTGTGAAGGAGTTGATGTATTGATGATGAGATTAACTTGACAGGCAAGAGTTTCTCTAGATATATACTCGTCTGGCGAGAGTGATCACAAATCAGAGGTTGCTGATGTTCTACACATAGCCCTCGGTTGGTGAACTTGCCGTTTAATGGTAAGCTGTATCCTTCGTCAGTGCAGTGTCGCATCAGGCCCTTCACACGACCAGAATGCGGAGAATAGCATGACAGGATGCCTAAGATAGACAGGTCACATCTCGCAAAGGTCATCTCGGATGGAAAACATCCCAGCGTTTGCTAAACACAGCTCCAATAAGCGTCCAGCAATCCTGTCACTGCGGCTGAAATAGCTGACCCAGGGCGTGGCTTAGCTCCACCACGAGAAACAACGAACAGCGCAATCGTCAGCAATTTACTACTAGGCCTCGATCAAGTTCACTGTAGAGGGTATTCCGGGCGTAATCACAACATTCGCTGCAGCTCGTAGTGTTGGTTGATGCTCATTGAACATGTTCCGCATGCGCCTTTGCGATGGTGACCCACGTGTCGACGCCTAGCAGGCAAGGACGACGGGGACACCACACAGGTCCAACAGCTGAGTACTGTGCCACAGTATGACATTCCTCCCGTCCGCTAGATGGTCTTGGTCTTGTTTGTAATTGTTGGCTATTTTCGGCTTTAAGTGAGCGCTTATAGATCTGGGAGGGGCTGCCCTTTCGAAAACCAAGTAGGTACATGCCGAGACGCCTCTTCGCCGCTCAAGACCTCATTCCGGGACCCGAAACAGCGTCGCTTGCGCGTTATTATTTCCAGCGCGTATTGAGCCCCAAAGGTTCGGGGCTGGTGATGTTGCGACGGAAGTCCGGGTCGTGGTGGAATCGGCCACGCGGCGCGCACGCGAAAGCAAGCCTTCTGGGAGCGATCTGGCGTTGCCCACCTGGGTAACGTCCGTGCACGAGGCTCGTACCAAGAATACCACCATCAGTACTGATGTATCTGCATAGCTTCAATCTTTTGTTTCTTAGTCATCGGTCTTGTCCAAACTCGCGTAAGACACTTGTAGGATCCTAGAGCGATTGCCTAGTAGATGCGCTGATCCTGTCCCCATGGATGATCTGTGGAGGCCGCTAGTGAGCTACCGTTAACAAACACGGTGAAGTCTTAGTCGAACTCGTGAAGGCGGGGCATGTTTCGTCAAGACGGTGGTGAATGGTGGTATATCTTCTCTCGGGCGCGAAAAAGGATATGAAGACAGCGGTGAAGTAGCAGATCTGGCGGTCAAGAGTCTTGTTAATACATCCTTGGGGCGACCTGGGCCGAAAAAGCAGCAAAGCCGCGCTGCGAGGTTCCACACCACCACAACACTGTAGTGGTGTGCACAGGGAGAATTGCTTTGCCAGGTCCTGCATTGCAGTAGTAATGATAGAGTCAAGCGAGAATGGAGGTGGTGTAAAATTTCATTATTTTCTTCTTTCAAGAAGAACGCCAATACATGCTAGCTCGTGACTGCGGAAATCATCCAAAGAAAACATGCTCTATCAGAGACAACACGCTTACATGCAAGCAGCGCCGTCAATGCCAATGACCTTTCCGTTGACCCAGTCACCGTCTTGGGAAGCAAGGAAGCAAACGACGCGGGCAATGTCTACTGGCTGACCAACACGGTTGTGAGGGGACCATGTGCAGGCGTACTCGTCGACTTGGTCGTCGCTGAGCTTGTCACCATCGGGAATGTACTCGCGGCAGACGGCGTGGTACATGTCGGTCTTGATGCCACCGGGTGCAACACAGTTGACGGTGATCCTCTTCTCGCCGGCATCTAGGTTGGGTCAGTAGATGAAGTGGAAGTGAGCATGATGTGACTTACCGATAGCCATGCACCTAGTGAATGTCTCAATGGCTCCCTTTGAGCCGGAGTAGACAGCGTGCTTGGGTACGCCCTTAGCCTGACCGGTGATGGATCCCATAAGGATGATGCGACCACCCATCTCCATCCTCTTGTAAGCCGCCTTAGCGACGAAGAACTGGCCACGGGTGTTGATGGTGAAGACACGGTCGAACTCCTCGGGTGTGACGTCCTTGAAGTGACCGAAAGAGACAACACCGGAGTTGGAGCAGCAGATGTCGAGCTTGCCGAAGTGGGCAACAACGTCGTCCATCAGCTTCTCAGACTCCTCGACGTTGCCAACGTTGGCCTTGAAGGCAGCGGCGTCTGAGCCATTGCCGAGTGCCTTGATCTCCTTGACGACTGCCTCAGCACCCTCGACGGCGTTGGCGTAGTTGACAGCGACCTTTGCGCCACGCTTGGCGAGCTCAATAGCCATCGCCTTTCCGATACCACGGCCTACATGTTTGTTAGTATGGGAGGTGAAGCTTGGGTATGATAAGCTTACCTGAGCCGGTAACAACGGCGACCTTGCCAGCAAGGCTCCATGTCTGCTCAATTGATGCCATTGTGATGTGTTGAGGTGTTGAGATGTTGAGTTGAGGAGTGTGAAGGTGGTTGTAGTAGTGATGAGAGTGGTTGTGATGATGATAATTCCCTTCCACGGTCAAGACGAGTACATATATACCCTTTCGCTATTCGGAACGCCAGCGGAGACCGCGTTCAGTGAGTAGCTCTTTTCCATCTGCTCCACCACCGGTATCCCAACATCCATACCACTCCCCCAACTCGAAGCGTCCGGTTCGGCACTCAGCATCGCCCCCAGGAGTCGTGAGTCCTAGGGCTGAAACTGTGTACCTGCGCCGCATCTGTCCCGTAGCGTGGTCCCTGTCCCCGTAGGAGAGCCTGAGCCTCAGGGACAGACCGTCGGACAGAGGGGCCGAAGGGGGCAGGAGCGCTTGCGATTGGACAATTCCCACGAGCTGCGAGGGCCGACCGAGCAACACCAAACTTCCAGCGCCTCTCGTGCAGCACGCGCCCGTTTCACGAGATCGAAACATCTTTTTTTGTCCACCGCGAGTAATGCTGGCATCTTATTGAGTTCTGCTGGTGAAGCACCAGGTATGACGCTGCGAAGACTCGCGTTTGACAGTGACAACGAATCGCGAGGCTGATGCGACACCGGCGGCATCGAAACATCTATTTTCGCCTCCTCGCATGTCCACCATCAGCAGAGAGTCTCTGCTGGGAACTCGTTGCTTCGTGATGTGACGCGAACAGATTCGAACGTCGCTGCGACGACTCTGTCCGTCGTGGGTAAGCCCAGGACCGTGGAGTTCTGAAGATCCGACACGGTCATGTGACGTTCTGGGACAGACTTCGGATCCCTTGGA